CCTCTCCTCTCCTAGAGACACTGCACACTCCTCTCCTCTCCTAGAGACACTGCACACTCTTCTCCTCTCCTAGAGACACTGCACACTCCTCTCCTCTCCTCTCCTAGAGACACTGCACACTCCTCTCCTCTCCTAGATACACTGCACACTCCTCTCCTAGAGACACTGCACACTCCTCTCCTAGAGACACTGCACTCTCCTCTCCTAGAGACACTGCACACTCCTCTCCTCTCCTAGAGACACTGCACACTCCTCTCCTAGAGACACTGCACTCTCCTCTCCTAGAGACACTGCACACTCCTCTCCTCCAGCTTCTGAGTCATTCTTTCCCAGCTTGTAGCTCTTGTTACTCGTATTGAAGTGGCAGTCAGTCTTGGCTCGGCCGCCTGTTACGCTCCAGCACTTCATTTCCAAGCGGACAGCTTGCCCTGGACCCGGCGCACTCATAAAACAAGTCAGTGTTGTTCCTGAGACTCCCAATCCTTCCCAAAATAATAAATATTTATTGTGCAGAATGAATGCAAAATAAAGGAGTTCTCAGTCCCGGCATCTCCTCTCCGGTTATGACATCGGCACTGTAATAGGAATACATAGTAGAGTTGTTTCTGATAATACAATCAAATCCCTTCTATGTAGGGAGCGCCGCCTTCCGTCTGCCCGTCACTTCCAACAACTTCCCGGACTCCCAGAGTGCTTTGCGTCTCTTTCTCTGCTGCTGGATGTGATGCAATCTCCATTCCTCAAGACTACACGTCCCATCATGCATTGCTTCTAGCAAGCAATGATACGGTTACATTGTTCAGACGTTGTACATTCACAGGGCTGAGTTATATTGTGTCAGTGCATTGAGGAAGTCCGTCCTATGCGCATCTTCAACTTACAAACTTCTAGATGGATGTGGTTATTAGCAGTGGGGGGAGAGGAGTAAAGAGGGAAAATGAGGAGGTGAGGAGGACAATGAGGAGCAGAGGAGAACAATAAGGAGGAGATGAGGACAATGGGGAGCAGAGGATGACAATGAGGAGCAGAGGGGAACAATGAGGAGGACAATGAGGAGGAGAGGAGGACAATGAGGAGGAGAGGAGGAACAATGAGGAGGAGAATGAGGAGGAGAGGAGCACAATGAGGAGGAGAGGAGGACAATGAGGAGCAGAGGGAACAATGAGGAGGACAATGAGGAGGAGAGGAGGACAATGGGGAGCAGAGGAGGACAATGAGGAGCAGAGGAGGAGAGATGGACAATGAGGAGCAGAGGAGGACCATGAGGAGCAGAGGAGGACAGTGAGGAGCAGAGGAAGACCATGGGGAGCAGAGGATGACAATGAGGAGCAAAGGAGGAGAGTGTGACAATGGGGAGCAGAGGAGGACAATGAGGAGCAGAGGAGGAGAGAGGGACAATGGGGAGCAGAGGAGGACAATGCGGAGCACAGGATGACAATGAGGAGCAGAGGAGGAGAGTGCGACAATGAGGAGCAGAGGAGGACAGTGAGGAGCAGAGGAGAACAATGAGGAGGAAAGAGGGACAATGAGGAGCAGAGGAAGACAGTGAGGAGCAGAGGAGAACAATGAGGAGCAGAGGAGGACAGTGAGGAGCAGAGGTGGACCATGAGGAGCAGAGGAAGACCATGAGGAGCAGAGGAAGACAGTGAGGAGCAGAGGAGAACAATGAGGAGCAGAGGAGGACAGTGAGGAGCAGAGGTGGACCATGAGGAGCAGAGGAAGACCATGAGGAGCAGAGGAAGACAGTGAGGAGCAGAGGAGAACAATGAGGAGCAGAGGAGGACAGTGAGGAGCAGAGGTGGACCATGAGGAGCAGAGGAAGACCATGAGGAGCAGAGGAAGACAGTGAGGAGCAGAGGAGAACAATGAGGAGCAGAGGAGGACAGTGAGGAGCAGAGGAAGACAGTGAGGAGCAGAGGAAGACCATGAGGAGCAGAGGAAGACCATGAGGAGCAGAGGAGGACAATGAAGAGCAGAGGAAGACAACAAGGACATAGGGATTTGGTTCTGGGGACAGTCGGGGGATGGGAGTGACATCACTTTTTGCAGTAAATGTTATTTGTGGAAGTTTCTGGAGCTGAACATTCCGGCGATCGCTATTCTCAGGGAGGATGAACCCGCCGATCCGTCATGGCCGCGTCTGATTTCTTTTCCCATAATCCCCTTGGATGTGACCTCTGTGCCCTCTGCGTGTCCTGCCAATCTCTCGCTGACTGTTCCCGGGATCTCTCGCCTTCCAGAGAACATCGAATTCCACAAAATAGAAACAAAATATTCATTTCAGAGATTTCTTATGACTCGGACCCCCGTCCCCCTCCCCTCCTCCTCGACGCCGAGTTGATTTTGGCGCATAACTTTTTCCCCCAATTTAATCTATTTACATTCTTCACTCCGCGAGTTCTACAAACAGTCGGCAGTTTTGCCTCGAAGGCTTCAAATGTCTTCTGGCTTCCAAGCTGACGCAGATCAGCCCCTGCTGCCGCCTCTCTCACCTTGTGACTGGCTACAAAGTTACAGTGTTGCAGTCTGATCACTGGGGGGAGGGGAGACTGAGGAAATGCTTCCTCCTGCCTGCAGCAGACTGATGACATCATCTCAGCCTAGGCAAAGTCACTGGTTGGAGCTCCAGGATGGCTTTGTAATGATAGCAGGTGGAGCTTTCCTCTGCAATGATCCTCTTGCTGTATATTGTGAGGGGTTTATTCATGGGGACTGGTGACAGGTCCTCTTTGGCCTTCCTCTGACAGAATCATACTCAGGATTTTGGTAATCATTTCCGGCAGTCACATGATAGCTGATGGCGACGTTCGGCTCATTTCACATCGGTCGGCTCTGCGCCAGGAGGCGAGCGAGCGGAAAAACATCATTATTCAGCGTTTTCCAAATAAACCGAGAAACCAAAAACCACCAAATTTCCTCACAAACACCTTCCGGCCGCTCGTTAGAATGTCGTCCGCGTCCGAATGTTTATTGTGACAGATCCGGTATTCCGCGTACGACTGGCAGCCAGATGCTGAGCGGTGCTGGACACTTAAAGGGGGACTCCGGCCTTCCCCTCAGTCTTATATCTGAATAATGTAATAAGTTCTTTTTGTTTTATATTACGTGTCATTTTTTTTCTTTGTTTTTTTTTATATTTATAAATGATTTGTTTCCTGTGTTTCAGGATCATCGAAGGATCTGATCGAGTCGTGCTGCGCGGCCGGTCAGCAATGGTCCATCAACTTCGGAGAATGTGAGAACATGCCGCTCGACCCCTCCGAGGATTGCCGGTACCCAACTTACCTCCCCCCCCACCCCCTCCTTATTCCTGAGCTCACCGCGAAATTCCAGCTTCTCACTGCTACGGAAATCACAATCACAGGAAGCCAAGCGGAATAAACTCAACAGAAAGCTGAACCTGCAGCCTTCTATCTGACCTCCATCCTCCCCTTCAGTCTTCTATCTGACCTCCATCCTCCCCTTCAGTCTTCTATCTGACCTCCATCCTCCCCTTCAGTCTCCTATCTGACCTCCGTCCTTCCCTTCAGTCTTCTATCTGACCTCCGTCCTCCCCTTCAGTCTTCTATCTGACCTCCATCCTCCCCTTCAGTCT